TCGCTCCGGCTTGATCAGGTTCTTGAATGTCCAGTTCACTGGCCTCCACTCCCTCAACACTTTCCTCCGCTGGTGACACATGTTGCGGTATAACCTTCTTCCTGGCCGTTATTGTTGCGCCCTCGGTGATGTGCTCCTCGGCTGCATGCGCTTGAGCTTCGCTAATCTGAAAAATGGTATTCTTGAGCTTGGAAAATATGAAAACGCATCTGAAGTAATATCAGTGTTCTTGTATAACCTCGACACCCTAGCACTTAATCTGACTTAAAACTGAAAAGCAAGAAAAAACAATAATGATTAATATCAGGAAATTCAAGGACAATCTGAAGTATTGCAGTAGCGTTTTTCCTAAACCAACTACTTGCTGACAAGGCTGTCGGTGGTAGTTCTTTCAAGTGTTGCTTACGAAGCAAGCGAAAACACCAGTACTCTTTCAACTATCACACCCAGTCGTTTATGGACTGCTTTTCCACTGGAAAATTTGAATTATAGGTTCGGACTCTGTAAATGTGATGCAAGTATATATTGCAAAAAAGTCGAGTATATTGCAAAACTTTGTATGTGAAAAAAAAGCAGTTGTGACTTTAAATTTATCAGACTCCAATTAACTTAAAAAAAATCAAGCATTTAGAAACGCACCTCTGGATGCTTCTAGATTCTAATATAGAATTTTATTATGGAAGCACTACAGAAAATGAATCAAAAAACAGTAGTGTGCACAAACTGAGTAGAAATAAAATACAGTGTGCTTTGTTAGGTCTGCATCAAGGCTTACAGCAAACCCAGAAGTTTCTTCAACATTCTGCTGCAAATCCACTTCTTTTGTATATGTTATTTCTCGATTCTGTTCCAGTTCTCCTTCTTTGTCCGCTTCTTCAACCTCAAGATTCGCTTGCAGTGCTGAGATTTCGCCCTAAATGTCATTTTTCCTCGGCTGATCTCAAAATTTCGTTAGCCAAGTGAATTTTTGGGATATTTTTTGTGTTCGGTCTGAGAAAATACTTGCTGTATGGGAAAAATAATAATTTTCAAAAACTAAGAAAATTAACTGAAACACTGAAAAAAATGTCCTGTCCAGTGCAGCAGAGTAGTAAGAATTTTGTTCAGACTGAGGACAAAACAGCACGAGATAACGAATCATAGTAAGAGATATTTTTAGGACGGAACAAAAAAAAAAACTGTCACTTTTTAGACAAACAAAAAACAACTCCGTCTCGTCAGCGCTATATTCATACTGTCCAAACTGCTCCGTATTCGCCTTCTATGGAACGCGGGCATAACTTCGAATTTGTCCAATGACAGCACATGCCAACAGTAACCAGTCGCTGGCAAGGCTGTTGAAGACTCCCTCTTTCGATATTCATGCTGTAGATTTTCTTGCCTTCGCACAGGAATTGTGAACGGCATAATTTAGATTTATTGCTACACAAGGAAAATTAGAAGTGCTACACAGGGGGAAGTGCATCACCAAAACGTGCAAGTTGTTCTGTGTGGTGGATTTGGACTTACTTTGTTGTCATCCACAATTTCACCGCAAATTTCATCAGCGCTGACTTCTTCCTCCAGCACCGACGCAACCATTATTTGTGGAATTGGTG